GACAGCTCAGGACATGTGAGTTAGGATTAGTGGAGCAATAATGTGGGTGTTTTAGAGTGGGGTGCCTGCTACTGCCAGCCTGACTGGGAAGAACAGACGAACCCCTCAGCTGGAAGAAGTCTCATGTTTGCATGGTCCTCATGACAGACTCCAACCATCCTGATATCTGCTGGACACCACACAGCAGGACATGAGCGGTCTGGGAGGCTTCTGGAGGGCAGGGATGGTGAATTCATGACAGTGGTGGTAGAAGAGCCAATAAAGGGAGGAACCCTGGCAGACCTGGTACGCACACACAGGGAGGAGCTGGTCAAGGCTGTGAAAGGTGTGGGCAGCCTTGGTTTTGGTGACTGTGAGCTGTGGAACTCAAAGTCCTTAGAGGTGGGGGAAATGCAAAAATCAGTATCACAATTCTGAACTTCAGAACTGTTTTTTTTTTTGTTTTTCAAAGAAATGTTTGGTAAAATCCCGTGGGACACGGCACTGAATAGCTGAGCAGTCCCTAAAAACTGGTTGATTTTCAAGATCACCTCCTCCAAGATCTAGAATGGTCCATCCTGACAAGTAGGAAATCTAGCAAAAGTGGCACAAAGGCTGCATGGGTGAACAAGAAGAGCAAGGAAGCCTTATCCTCATTTGAAGGAAGAGTGGGGCAGAGAATATGTAAATAAATTGTGCATACACAGGTCCTTGAACCTGAAAGAATTTGAAGGAATCTCCCTATAGAAAGAGGATTCTGCATTCTGGGCAGCTCTTCTACCATTTTGTGACATTTGTGAATTTAGTTTTTTTCTTCTGAAAAGAAAAATSGTTGAAATCTGATTTACTTTTCTCAATATTACAACTTCTCTAACCTTGCAAACACATTTCATAGCTGCAGGGTGATAGTAAAACTGTTCAGAGCTCGGTTTAAAACAAATACACATCTGGGCAAGAAATGGCAACAATAATTGTAAACAACTGAATACATTAAGTAATCTAAAGACAAAGTAAATAGTTTATGAAATGTAAATAGTTAACTACTGTCTACTAAAACTAYTATCAAGAATGAACCACAAACAGGAAAAAAGGGCAATAAACAAGAGARTATATCCACAACAATAATTTGGTTAGCCCTACATTGCAACATTTCTTAGGGCCATATTGATCTATTTATAAGACACACATTGTATTTGCAAATGGTGATTATAAAACCCCATGAAAGCTGTCCTGAAACTGTATTATTTATCAAGCACACTTTTCTTTTTTTGCTTCAGAAAGTGTTAATTAACTGTGGTGTTATATTTTCGTGAGACATATCAATTTATCCAAGCTGCTGTTCCATTTCAAAAGATGTCAGAATAAGATTCTTCACCTATTCAGTTGAAAGCTCACTATCCCACAGAGCCATTCTTTAATCACTTCAATGCATGCCTCCATAGAGAGCAGAAAGTGTTCTTGACTTTATTAAAATACATTTCTTTTCCAAACTGAAAACTAATCCAGATTCAGAGTCAAAAGATCATCTTGCTCAGTTCTAAAAGGTTTTTGAATTTTTTGTTTCTGATGTTAATAAGCCTTGAAAGTTTGAGTATTGTTGCTGGTGTATACTTTGATCAGTGGATTTGAAATGCGAGCTCTTTGGCCATGGCCCTTATTTTCWTTACATCCAGGCAGCACTGGGTACRATGGAGACCAAACTCATTCCATGACCTCTTAGTGCCAACAGCAATACACAGCAATTATAGAAAGAGTATTAATAAGCACACAAGTTTTGGTGAGACAATTTTTTCAAATTTCTGTCCCTTGCTTGGTCTGTGACTTTTGACCTGAGGTCCCCTGTAAGAACTGTACAGGATTTCCTAAGAGTTAGTGTGTCTTCCTGCAAAATGTGTTTCTAAGTTGAGTTGGGTGACACAAATGTCCTCTTCCCAGCTGCAGATATATCTGTTTGGTGACTTTTGTTTTATTTATGCATCACTRAGATAATTTTTCCCTTATGACTGAGCAGGTCTGTGAGCAGCACAATAAAGGGGACAAACAGGTGAGGGTGTTGCAGATGGCCATAATTCTATCCTCTTCTCCTGACCTCTATTAGATGGTTTTGAATTCATTCAACACAGCTTTACTTCTGGAACTGCTGTAACAGTCTGATGAAAAGTAAAAAAAAAAAAAAAAAATTCAACACAGCTTTACTTCTGGAACTGCTGTAACAGTCTGATGAAAAGTAAAAAAAAAAAAAAAAAAAAAAAAAAATAAAAAAAACCAAAAAACTAAAACCAAAACATTTTTAAAAAAAGAACAACATGAAAAAACTTGTAAATACAAGTCTTCATGCCACTCTTTTAATCCACCCAGTAGAGTGGGTTCAAAATATGGAGAAACCCAGTTAGGAAGTGGTCAGGCACTGGKAAGTGGCATTTGTGACTGCTCTGTTGAATCCAGGACAACTCAATGCAGAAGAAAGGTGCTCTGAGCATGCCTGGCCTGCCTGCTTCCAGCTTTGGAGGATACAGAGCTCCCCAGCAGCTGGAGGRGCTGCAGCAGCCAGGAGGTTGAATAGCAGTGATTTAAGCTAAAGATGTCCTCACCATTTTACTGGCTTGGCTTTTAATTTGTTTCCAAAACCTGCAAATGTATCCTATATATTGAGAAACTGTAGCAATTGGCTTGGCTTCTGGTTTTGTTTTCTTGCAGGCTGCAAAGAGCATTATTTTAATRGAGTTCTGTTTTACATTAAAACTTMATTATAATGTATTTGTTCTATCCTTCTGGTGCACTGCTTCTGATCATTGACATTCAAAAACTCACCCCACTCAGATGAAAGATTGATCCGATTCACATTTTCAGGAAAAGCTATAATGAGTGATCAGTTGTGGCTTGAAAACTTGGGTAGCAGGTTCCAAAATGAGCAGTATTTATGGCTGYTTTATAAGCACTTAAAAACTAGGACGGAAATACCAATATAGCCTTGACTACCAAAGAGACTTTATAAAATCTCTCTTTAAATTATAATGTCTTGAATTTAATGCATTTTAATGTTCTTAATTTTGAATTAGGAAGGGAAAAGAATTCATGACATTTGCACTGTGTGACTCTGCTATGTGGTAAGTCACAGCATCTCATAATGGCTTAGATGRCAATAATAAATAAACTAAATGGGCCTTAGGCTATTTTTTTTTTCTCATTTGTATGCACAAAGATGTCACCAAAGTCACTTGTTTTCTCTCTGTAGTGGTAACAGCCCTTATTTAAACTATGGTTGTTATAAAAGTCACTTACCATTATCTTCATAATATTTTTTATCACACRGTTGAACTTCTGAATCCACGGTATCTCCTGTGCTTGCTGTTGAGACATAGCTGAAAATTTGGATAGAAGTCAGTATTTACCTGTTTAATAAAGAAATGTATGGAAAAAAAAAAAAACCCAACTGTTTTGGATGTTCTGTATTACACTTTGTTTTTCCATATCATAAAAAAACCCCACTGCTGGAAGCACAGTAAACAGGGATGTCTGGGTGGGACTGGCCGTGGTAGTGGAAGAAGTTCTTGTGTTTTGGAGATAAATTAACTGGCATATTTTGTTGCTTAGTGGTTTATTAGGTTCACTTCATTATTTGTAGGTTCACTGGTTTGATTGCTGTTGGTAATGAGAAGTTCTAGTTATCATTTCTAGTTTAAAAGCAGTTTTTTACTTGAGTGGGGTGAAAGGTCAAAGGCCTTGTAGCTGAGGGAGTTAAGTTTCCTGTCTTTAATTGCTGCTAATGAATATTCAGCTGTTGAAATGGAGAGAAAAGTAGTAGAAATCAAAGTGACTCGTGACTAAGAGAGCCCAAAGAGCACCAAGTTACAGGACTTATCTGGGAATTCAAGTGCTTTGTGTTTTATATATTGACTGTGTGAATAAGCAGCAGGAGTGTAATGTCCATGAAGGGTTACATGAGGAAATCACTTTTTTTAAAGAAATGACACCAGAAATAATTACAGAATCACAGAACCAGTTAGGCTGGAAAAGACCTCTGAAATCATCAAATCCTACTCATGATCCAGCACCTCAACTAGACCATGACATGATGTGCTGCCTCCAGTCTTTCCTTAAACACTTCCAGAAGTAGTGACTCCTCCACCCCCCTGGGCAGTCCAATCCAAAGTTTAATCCCCCTTACTGCATAGAAATTCCTCCYAATGTTCAACCCAAACCTCCCCTTGAGGCCACGTCCCCTTGTCCTATCGTTGGTTTCCTACAGGTTCCCTTCTWCCCTGGGCGTTTTTCCAGCCACTCTGTCCTG